GGGTACTAGGCGGTGACATCATCCCAATGCTTCCGTGTGCAAAGCATCATGGGAAATGAAGTTTCTTGGCGCTGATGTGGTTATTTGCTTTTCAGAGCAATTTAAGCACAGTCATTTTGGAGAAAATCACTGCATAGTAATTTCCTCATGAGGTCAGACCCTCAACAACAGTAATGTAACAAATACTGTAGCTTCAGATTAATACATGTGCTTTTTCACAAATTACAAAGAATTCATTCATAATCTAACCACAGTTAGGATTTTGCTGAATTTTTTGAGCATAAGTTGTCTTAATTGGTAATTTTAGCAAAAAATTTCTGACAATATAGTTATAATCTGAGCCTGTCCACATAAAAACTAGTTTAAATTAGAATGTTTGGAGTTATTTACTCCAGTGTTTCCCAACCCTGGTCCTCAGGGACCACGGTCCTGCATGTTTTCACGTGACATCAAGTGTTGCAGATGCCTGTTAATCACTCATTTATTTGAGTCACGTGTGTAGCAGCAGGGAAACACTGGTGTTTAAAGGGGAAACATAGAAGACATGCAGGTCAGTTAACCCTAAACCTAACCCTGTGTGTTTTCTGCTGCCAGGTTCTGAAAATGGATTCTACTCATTTTTATTATTAGTGCTTTTTGGGGTAAACAAATGTGCTATAGCCTTTATTAGCATTACGTTTGAGGAAGTTTTGTTCTTTGAGGTGAAACTCTTGAATGAGCTGAACATATTTGGAGCATTTTCCATCTAACTGGAGGTTCTTTTAAGCTGTCTGCTCAAACTATCTCAGTAGCTATAATCTCTCACTCGCCTTCAGTGATGTGGCATATCCCAGCCTGAGCTTTTGGCAGCGGATAAAGTGGGAGCAACGAGAAATTTGTGCCATGGTAAGGTGAGTGTTTCAAAAGGGACACCGACTCCAGATTTGCGACTTCATCTCACTGCCAGAGGATAGACACAGAGACGACACAAAATGTCTCAAGCCCAAATAGTGGAAAATTAAAAGTGGTCTGGAGTTTAGTGTAGCCGGCAGTTATTGGCAGAGCAAATAATAAAGGCTTTGATTGAGATTGTTCTTTTGAAGGGAAGTTACGAAGACCGCCAAAGACTCGAATAAATTCCGTCCAACTTTTAAAGATGGAAGCTGCTGGTTTTGGAACGTTTGTTTTCCGTGACTTTATGTTCTGTTTTTTATTTGCTCTTATCGATGCTGTAAAGGCGAAATTGGGATGCAGCCAGTCACTTTACAGTGAGTAAAAATCCAGCAGTCCAAAAATAAATGTCTGGCAACCTGGCATCTTCCTCCGACATAAACTAATACACAATAAATGGACTGTATTAAGTGGACATATTAGTCTGCTGTTCTATCCCATAGCTCTAACCCACCATACAGTTCCTGTTTTTGTTTCAGTTGCTAGACGTTCATGAATAAGGGCAAGCAGCGCTGCACCTGCCTTCTTTTGTATCAATATTTGGGTCTCTCTCTCTCTCTCTCTCTCTCTCTCTCTCTCTCTCTCTCTCTCTCTCTCTCTCTCTCTCTCTCTCTTTCTCTCTCTCTCTCTCCTCTCTCTCTCTCTCTCACACACACACACACACACACGCACACACACACATACACACACACACACACACACACACACACACACACACACACACACACACACACACACACACACACACGCACACACACACATACACACACACACACACACACACACACACACACATACACACACACACACACACACACACACACACACACACACACACCCCAAGCCGAATATTAAAGGCTAAGAGGAGCTGAGTAAAAGTGGAGCAGTGCTGACCCACTTTGGCTAGTTATGGATGACGTCATGGGCCTAGTTAATGGGTCCCTACAACCCACTCTATGTACAACTAGATAGAATTGATTACCTTTCTCTAACCTATGTTGGGTTTTCTGTAGATAATAAGGGAAGGTCAATTATGACCCAAAGTAAAATATGATCCAGATTTATTGGTTCAGCCCTCCTGGAACATTTCATTAAGGAGAATTTATAGTAGAGTATGAGGTTTAAATATCAGGAAGAAAAGTGCATGTTGTATTCCTAAACCTATATATTAAATACAGCAGGCAAATTTATGTTCATCGTGAAACTTTTCTTTGTCTTAAATCCACTAAATGAAATTTAAAGGATCTACGTTTGTTTTTTGGAGGCAGGTTTGAGGAATCGTCACTGTCACTGCTAATCTCAGTGACAAATATATTGTGTTTCTTGTGACTGCTCTTCAATTAAAGCCATGCTGTGTTTAATGCTTATAAAGTTGACTTGCCACAGCAGGAAGTTCTCCGTGTACTGGCACTTGCTCCAATGGCTAAGGTAGAAAAATAATGTTAGATGTTATCACACAGAGATGGAAGTATGCAGCAGTGGGGATTTCAAACAATGTCATTTCTGCAGTAAAATTATTGCTTAATTGTGAAAGAGTTTAAGGTGGAGCAATTTAAGTAAGGTTGCATGTTGGGGCAGTTGGTAGAACTGTTGCTTCTCAGCAAGAAGTTTGCCAGAGTGACCTTTTGGTGGTACCGCGATCAAAGCGTAAGTCTAGGGGTGATCATGCCTTTGCAGTCCTGGGTTCTGAGCTTTGGAACCAACTCCCACAAGAAATCAAGCAGTCCACATCGCTGCCCACTTTTAAAGCAAGGCTTAAGCTGTATTTTAGATCTGTTTCTTAGTTGTTTTTATTCACATTTTAATGTTTTGATCACTGTTTTTATTGTTTTAACTCTTTTTGTTTTTAAATGTTTTTATCTCTGAATTTTATTATAGAGCTGTTTTATTGTGCTGCTGTGGGAAGGGGCTTTATAAATAAAATGAAGGAATGAATGTCAGTTCTCGTGTATTCATGGTTTTTCCCTTGTCCTCATGTATGCTAGCATGATCCCCTGCACTGATGTCTTGCAAATGAGAAGTTTCTTTGGGTAAAAGCATCTCCTAAGTGTATAATTCTGTAATTTTGTTCTCCCGGGCTTCTAAATCAGTCTCTTTCCCACAACAGATCACACTGCAACCCTAGAAATAGTTAACAGGAATGATGATCTTTTGACATTACAGGCAATCATGTCACTCCATGTTCATCACTAAAAGTACTGTCTAATGGAGCACTGAGTATTAGCCAAAGGAATTAAGGCATTAATTAGGAGCGATCTCCTGCCCATCTGCTCACCTTTCTCTCTCATAAATCTGACTTTCTGTCCTTTACCCAAATAACCTCAACTACAATAAAGTTTCACTCTGTAGTATGGCTTAGTGCTGGTGAATGTTCTCTGTTTGCAAGGCATGGTAACCTTAGATGATTAAGGGGGTATCCCTAATCCGTACCCATGCATGTGACACAGGTATTTTCAAAAGATCGTATTTGGGTTCTGAAATCTGATTTTTTTGTGTACTCAAGGCTGACATAATAAACTATAACTTCTATATATGCTGAAAACATCTTTCACTTGTGGACAAGCCTTCAGAATAAAAGGCAACTGGGACCCTTTGTATCAGAGGAACTTTGTGAATTAAAAATAAAGTGTGGATAACCAACCTTTCAAACTCCTTGGATATTTCTTAACACTATCTAGTTTACAAATCTCTTCCACTCCAATTTTTGTTTTTATTAAAGTAAAAAAACAAAAAAAAAAAAAAACAAATGAGTTGCATTTCTTTGGCTCTGCTTGATGTACAGTTCATCTTCAGCACTTTAAAATAATAAATAATTATTTCCAACGCTATAGGTGTAATTCCATCATCGGAACTTCGGGTTAAATTTATAGAAACTCCCCGACGTGTGCGTGTCTCTACCTGACCAGGCCAGCCAAACGTCCATTTTCAGGAACTTTCTGAGTACTTGGAACGGCCCGGTGGAGTAACTGAGCAGAACTTTTGATCAACTCACGCTGATTGGTTGCGACTTAGTAGGAATTGACATCAGCAGACGTAGTCCAAACCAACCAGCAGTTGCAAAATTAGAAGAGTTGCAAGCGAAGCAGAATGGAAGTGAAATAAAATAAGCACTGGTCGCACTTAAAATTTAACTCATGACATCAGAAAACACGGGGAAATTCCCCCACAATGACAATTCACGAGACTTTGTTTGTCTCACAGAGCGTCATGAAGACTGGAGCTTCTTCTGGTCATTGACCGCCACTTTATACATCACACAGCAGCTCTAGCCCTCTAAATGGATTAAATGATGGCATACTTCGATGGAATAAATGCCTTTAATGTTATTAATGCTACTCTGGATGCTTTTTGGTGCTGACTATTGACATCCCTAACTGCTGAAGATGTTGCAGTATGCTGATGTTTGTACAAAGTCCTGAAAGGGCTGAATTGGATTGGTCAATCTCCCAGTCAACTTCCCCATCCCAGAATTTACCCTGAAGTTCCGTGGAAACACACCTTACAAAGGTCTTGTTTTGTCTGAGGTGTCTGTATAGAATAGAATAAACTTTATGTATGTTCTGTAGAGCCTTTTCGTAAGGATGACCCTGAGAACCAGAAGGAAAACATCCTACAGCCTCATAGAGGAAGAGAAATCCTGACAAATTAATCCAACATCCTCACCGAGGCCGCTCAGAGCTCTCTCTCATTGTTAATCTTACCTTAGTGCCGAAAACAAGGATGCTGAGTTGCATGGATGTCCAGTTATTAATGCCAAAGCCTGTTTATATCTCTGTCAGGAGTTGGGCGGTAAATCCAGCATACATCCCAGGTTCACCTATTATTATTGTGTTGGAAGGCTTTGGGTCGAGCCGGGCTGTCATGCTCGAGGACGCCCAGCCCTGCTCGACATTCTCTGCTTCCCATGAAAGGAGGTGAAGAGCAGGAAGCGGTGGACATCAGCACAGTGTGTTGGATTTATCCAGGTGTTCATCTGTATTGGATCAGTGTTCCTGTCAGAGCAGGACAAGAGGACATGGTTGGGTTTCGTGTCGTTGACAGAACATTCTCCTCTGGTTTGTTGTTGGCAGGATTTATGAGCGGGTGATAGACCCTCCTCAGATGGAGCTCACCTTAGGCAGTGGAGTGTGGCTAGGGCAACACAGCCACAAGCATGGTCTGTTCAAGGTAAGACTCTCAGCTGATGATGCACACACACACACACACACACACACACACACACACACACACACACACACACACACACACACACACACACACACACACACACACATTCCAGGTAACTGAACGTGCTTCACATTCCATATCTCCTGGTGTAATTGGCCACATTTGCAGCAGGCAGTAAGAGGAAGAAATACAAGAATGGGATTCAGAAACAGAAGTGCTGATGGCTCAGAGGAGCTGCACAAAGCTCAGCATGTGCTTTGAAATGCGTATTCCCAAGGCCATCACCATGTTGTCGATTTTTAGTCGTTGCTCATTTTCTCAGGCTCCTGCATGCTCTCGCAGCGGGCGAAGGATGTGGCGAGGTAGAACCAGGACATTCATAGTTCTCCCCCTCCTGCCATGCAATCAGCTGGCGTTCTGTTTTTCTTTAGTAACACATTGATCACTCACATAGGCCAAGTGTGATGAAAATGATGTCTCCTCCCCCCAAACCTTAAAAGCATCGCTGCTACACAAGAAGGCTGTTTCTTGTCTGTTACATGCCACGTCTTCCTCGATTGCTCCTTTTCCTCAGAGATTTCAAGGAGTTCCTTTTTGTGAACGACACGTCTCAATCGTCCTGTTCCCTGCTTTCAGTCATCCTGACTATGTCCTGTCCTCCACGTGCAAGGAGGGCTTGACGTGCACATCAGCTGCAGAGACAGAAGGTGCGGCAGAGCAGAGCCTTGTGTGAAGTGACACTGAATGAGCAAAATTTCCCCCTCAGGTTTATTCTAGGATCTCACCATCTCAGCTGACAGGTGCACTTGTTAACACCTTAAATCAGGAGCATGTTGTTTGGTTGATCAGGTGGGATGTTTTGAAGAAACATCTTGTTCAAAAAGTGTGGCATACCAAACCATACCAACTTTATTTAGTAGGTTTAAAAACAGCATGCGAGAATACATTACTCTGTGGTGAGAACAGTGAATAGCTTTCTCATGATTTTAGTTGTTTGTAACAAAATGGTGTTAAAATATTGTACATCTCTCCTTGCTGGTTGATATTTGCAAGCCATTTAATGTTTTAGCATTGGATATTTACATGGTATTATTGCAAACCCTTTTCTACAGATGTCTGTAAAACATTAAAGGAATACTATGCAACTTTTTTCATAGTTTTAAGTAATTTTCTTGAGCCAGTATGTGCTAAAATAACTCTTTACAGGGTTGATGAAATGTCACTCAGACCCCCACTGTGGCCAGAATACCGAATAAAAAATAAGAATTAAAAAATGAGCTGACATACCTGGCGCTGCAGCAGCTCCCAGCATGTTTCCTGCTTGTTTTAGATCATAAACACAGCTGATTTGTTTGGTATTAGTGATGGACCACTCATAGACACTAAGGAAGGCTGGGGAGACATTTCAGCTGCTGGAAAGATGTTAAAAACACAAACGCATAGCTAGGAAACAAGTTTAACAACAGATAATTAATAACAAACACCAGGGGGTGCTAAAAGCAAACAACTGCCAAGTGTGCCTTTTAACTGTTTGAAACAAACATGCTAGTAATTCCAAATGCCGTAATACATTGAAGCCAAGAAAACAGCGAATAACTACAGATTTCCTACACAACAGAGTGATTTTGGTGAAAAAATATTTTTTTATTTTATTTTTTCAAAATCTGTATCTCAGATGTTTTTTATTGACAAACATTGACAAGCACTAATCCTAATCACTTTTGGCCTGCCTGTGCGTTACAGCGCTCCATCATATATGTAGAATGGCTCTAAGGCTATCACACCACTATCGTGTGAACAATGTTTTTATCAAAGGCTTTCTGCATTATTGCTAGTGGAATGATTTACTTTTACATGTTTTAAATCTGTTCAGATAAAATATACATTTATTCTCAAAATCTCTCTATAAAACTATCTCTGAGCAGAACAGTGATCAATTGAACGTCAACCAGGTTTTTATTTAACCCTCCGACAGTCCTAATCGGTGACCCCGCCAGGAAAGTTGACCACTGAGCAGGGTTGATGGTTTATCCCTTGTGGTCCACGTGGCAGGGATGAGGACTGAGCACCACCTCACCCCTGCAGTGTGGACCTCAAGGGATAAACCATCAACCCTGCTCAGTGGTCAACTTTCCTGGCGGGGTCACCCATTAGGACAGTCAGAGGGCTAAATCAGGTTTCCAAACTTTGCAATTTGAGGGCTCAAATCATCAAGTTATAAGTCCTCATGGGCCACAAATTTGTGATGTTTTTCTTTTAGACAATGCAGATATCCCTGAGCTTCGCCACTTACATCCATATGGTAATTTTTTTATTTGTGAAAAAGGTATTACGGATGTCAAATCTTAAAGAATTTATGATAGTCAAACATATGGTAGAAACTAGAGAGTGTTGGCAAAAATTGGGGACACAAAATTTTGAGACATCACTACTTTTTAGTCACACTAAAATGGTACAAGTAACATTTTTATTACATGTTTTATACATGGCCAAGGCACATGAGTCATACTCCATATGCATGACAGCAGGGAAGTCACTGTTTCTTAATTATTTGTGCTTGTTCAGTTTGATCACCAAACCCTCTTGACATTGTCTCACATTTCCTGACTGCTGGAAAATGAATGTGTTCCAGACACCTGTGATGGCTTTGGGAGGATTTTCAGAAGAAATATGACACAATAGGAGCGTCACGTGACTCACAGTAAAAACTCAGAAACCTTTTCAGACTCTCTCTCAAATACTGACCACAATGTGTTGCCACCAGTCTCAGCTCAGTGAGAAAATGGCTACAGCAAATCACATTTTCCCAAGGCTGGCAGAGGAAATAAGAGTTTTGATAGTTAGGGCCAAGCTATTGTTTCTTTGGCCTTAACACCCACTACAAAGGTGGGATATCAGACACGGATTTCGACTCATAAAGTTAAAAACACATTACAGCTTTGCCTCCAGTTGTACCTTTCTTTAACCTGTTAAAGATAAAGAGACAAGTTGATCCCATTTCTGGCTCCACATGTTTAAAGCTGGGAGCTGTTGAGAGGCAAAAGGTGAAGGGAAGAAAAACATAATAAAACAACCAAAAGCCATGAAAGGAGCACTGTTGATAAGAGCTGAAATAAAGCAGCCGTCCGTTCAGGAACATGAACTGGGATAATGTTGAGCAAAATAACTAGGGCTTTAAATAAAACATGTTGAGCTTTTAAAGAACCTTAAGATGCCTCTCTCTCTTAACGCTCCATCTGAGGGAGAAACTAATAAATTATCTTTATCTAGAATCCATTGTGCAGAAGGTTCTGCTCCTTGGGGATAAGATTTGGAACCTGTGCTTCAGTGAAAGTCTTTAAGTTTCATGCTCTGTTGGGTGGTCTTTATCACAACATGGACAATGATGGAGAGACTGAACACATTACACAACTTCAGAGTTTAGATCTGCTGTGTTTTTCTCCTGAAACCACACATGTACGCAATTCTACATGATTCATTTATGCTGGATTTAGTTGATATTTGTTACGGTCCAATGTCATCACCGTCTGTGTTTTGAGTTGTTACTTACCTATAGTTGTATCTGGGGACTTGAAATAGCAGGAATATTTCCAAAAGAGACATTGCACTTGCAAATGATTTTTCTAAGTATAATCATCATTCATTTTTTTTTAATGTCAAGACCCAAGAACACCAGCTTTACTCGTGATGAATTGATAATTATGTTCAATTTAAATCTGTAGTTATTTAGGGATAGTTGGCCGTGGTTTGAAATGTTCAAAATGGTTGATTTCAAATATCGAGTTTTAAGAAACTCTTCTGACATTTTTTTAAATGAATCACAATTATTCTAAAATAGTTTTTGTTGTAAGTTCATGATGTCTTACTGTCAGGGGTGATCGCAGACTGAACTGAGAAACAGCGGGTTCGGCCGTAGCGTGTGGCTGAGACCCAAACGCGGGAACACGAGCTCTGGGAGTTAGTTTAGGAACGCTAGTTCATTTCTCAAAGGGAAACGAGAACGAACAGGCGTTACAGGAAGAGTAAGGAACTGACTGGTGGCATACTTGGTGAGGGATAAGGCTCTGGACTCGTGACATGGATTGGTAGAATCGATGACGGAGTGAAGGCGGAAGGAATTGTCCAAGAGGAGGTAGCGAGGCCAGAGGGAAGGCTGGGTGGAGACAAAACAGGAAGAGTAAGAAACTAACTCACTTGTAAGATGATTCCATGGAATAGATCATTAGTGAGTGACGAGGCTCTGGACTCGTGACATGGATTGGTAGAATTGATGACTGAGTGAAGGCAGAGGGAGTTGACATTCATGTATAGATGTGGGTGATGATGTGGGAGTTAAGAGTTCAGGAGATGGAGTGCTGGGAAATGGAGTCTTAGGAGGTGGAGCTCCGGATGAAGGAATGCAAGGATGTGGAGACCATGACAGGACCCTTGCTCCAGGGACAGCTCCAGAAGGACCAGGGTGAGGGGGATGGTAATCCCTGATAAGAGAGGGATCCAGAATGGAGAGTGCCGGCTCCCAAGAATGTTCCTCCAGGCTATAGCCCTCCCAGTCGACAAGACACTGCCAACCTCGACCCCGGAGGCGAGCTTCCAGGATATGCTGGCCAATGTAGACACGGTCTAGGCTTGGGTGCTATACACATTTTAATACCGTCTAACTTCCTCCACATTTTACCACGGTGTACGGTATTACCGTGTACGGTATTACCTGGGGGCAGCAGTAGCTCAACAGGTTGGGCGGGTTGTCCAGTAATCGGAAGGTTGCAGGCTCGATCCTGGCTCCGGACAGAGAATTCTGCTGTTGTGTCCTTGGGCAAGACACTTAACCCACCTTGCCTGCTGGTGGTGGTCGGAGGGCCCGGTGGCGCTTGTGCTCGACAGCCTCACCTCTGTCAGTGTGCCCCAGGGCAGCTGTGGCTACATCGTAGCTCATCACCATCAGTGTGTGAATGTGTGTGTGAATGGATGAATGATACACTGTAGTGTAAAGCGCTTTGGATTCCTTACTCTGAGAGGTGCTATACAAGTGTGGGTCATTTATCATTTAAAAATTATCACGTAAGCCTCAAGTGGAATTACCAAACTTTTGGTTTGGACCTTCACCATTCAGAAACTGAATAACAAACACTAATACTAAAACAATAACAACATAACACACATAATACTAACAACTTTAAAAAATGCAGCTTATAAAAAAATATTTCGTCTGAAAAACCAGCATGTATACCTTTTCCGCCTTCAACATCTGACCTCTGAAAACCTGCATCGATGAACTCATGGCAGACACCTGGTTACTTTGGGGCTAGTTGTGACATCCGGAGAAGGCTGGCTGCTTATTTTTCACCAGAAATGTTTGTTGTCAGCTGCACAGTGGTGCAGTGATTAGCACTGTTGCCTTGCAGAAAGAAGGTCCTGGGGTCTTTCTGCATGGAGTTTGCATGTTCTCTCTCTACTTTTGATTCTTGATGGCTCAACATGGGCAGTTGATAGCAATAACATGTTTCAAATAGAGAGAGACTCGTGTCAGAGGAGACATGGAGACTGTGGAACAGCTCTGCCCAGAGGAGGTAGCGAGGCCAGAGGGAAGGCTGAGTGGAGACAAAACAGGAAGAGTAAGGAACTAACTTACTTCTAAGATGATTCAGTGGAATAGATCATAGGTGAGCGACGAGGCTCTGGAATTGTGACATGGATCGGTAGAATCAATGACTGAGCGAAAGCGGACTGATGAAGAGATTTTTGATGGCATTTCTTATTTAGGTACTTTTTGCCACAAACGTTTCTGATTGTAAATACAGTAACATTTCTATAGATACTGTGACTTTTTCAGGCTTTAAATCATATTGATGATAATTAACTCTGAAGATATTTTCTGCTGTATGTGATGATAATGAGTAATGATGAAATTTTACAACCAGAACGTTTCGACCAGGATTTAGACTTAGAAAGACTCCATATTTAGAATGAATCCCACAGTGTTATTCTGAAAGTGCATTTACCTTTTTTATGAGCAACCCCTTAACATTAACTGCTGCTCTGGAGTAATCGGTGCACTTTTATTATGCACAGCACAAACCACATTCTTCAAAATTTAAGGAAGTGTATTAGCTGAAATAAAAAAAAATTATAATAATTAAAAAAAAATAAAAAGGCAGAACTTTATTAGGTAAATTAATATATTATAATATTATGTCCAAAACAATCACAGTAATACCTCTAAGCAAAAGAATCTAACAGTGTGATCACATCAAAGCTGCCAAACAATTTAAAACACAATTAAGACACTTTGTAAGAAAATTGTAACATTAAAATTTCCACAACATTTGCAAGAATATTTCTAATTATTATGTTATAAATGCACAGTGTCAGTATCAATTCAGTGTCTTATCTTTGTGTCTCTTACTCGATTAGTATTTGTAATAGACATGTTTTTATCTCCAGAGAAAATGACTTTTATTACTAAACCGTGCCACCCTGTTAGGACTTCACTGTAAAATGTAATGTGAGAGTATGTCTATTCAAAAGAAAATAGCAGTTTTTATGTATTGATGTCAATTATCCTGTGATCATTCAGAGGCATGTGGTCAGGACTCTAATATGACATCAGCGGGACTGACATTCATAATCGACATCTTCATTTTCATTCTGAATGACACTAACAATCTTTTCTTTCACCAACCGCTCCTTACGCTGAGTGTGTATGTGCATGCATGCGTGTGTGTGTGTGTGTGTGGTAGAAAAGTGTTTGTTCTCAGTCTGTGCTGCGTCGGCTCCCCTCAAGGCTCTGCTTCTGTGCCTGTGTGAAAAAGGCAGGTGTTGCTTGTATCCAGACCAGAAAAACTCACTGTAAATGGATTTCCCATACACATAAAGCAGACGATGCAGAGTGTGCTTTAGGTGGCAAAGTCTAATGTTTCGCCTGTGTGTTATCAGGGAACACTTTTAGGGACTGTTAAAATGATATTGATGTGTGCGAGCACCCTGGTGTTTGACAACCTCTGTTCTTCCACCACAGAATGTCTCTTTTCCCAGAGTCCCTTGCCTCTATTTACTACCCGTGTGCCTCTGGAGATAGCGTGCCATTCAGATTGATTGGCAGTCAGTTACAGGATGTTATAGGACATTCAGTCCAGCCTACGTAGAAATAATTTAATATTTGTCAGGTTAGGAAGAGATGCTTAAATGTGTTTGCTGCACATGTAACCTTGGCGATTCTAATTTTGTCCTTCTAATGTACGGAATTGGATGAGCTGAATACAAATGTAGAACTGTAGAAGGTAAACATATCTCATATTGTAATCATCTAGAGTATGGAGCATTATTTTTGATACATTTATTAAAAGGCAATAATTGAATGGCAGACCAAGAACCATTTAATATTTAGAATGAAATTTACATTTAGGTCTTTCACAATAACATTTCTTGTGTGAGGAAATGTTGAAAAATTCACTCCAACATTTCAGGCGCTTGGTGGAGGTCACATTAACCCCTAAATCCTGAACATAAGTGGTAAAAAATACATCTTAGAAAAAACAAGGACTTTTTCATCATTATGTTGGTGAATGTTTTTGTAGTAATAACATGTTAATTAACATTAACATGTTTTAAAATTATTAAGAACATATATTTTTACCACTTAAGGGCAAAACATGTTTTTAATGAATTATCAAGAGCTACAGATTTTCTTGATCAGAATAAATTAAATAAATAATAAGAACAAGCATTGTTTTCCATAAAGTGTCTTCAATATCTTTACTTTTGAGCATATTTCAACTCAGTTGGCATTTTAGGTTTTGTCTTTATCGATGCAGTTATTTTTGCTTCTTTATGAACAAAACCACGAAAAAAAAAAAAAAACAACCAGCAAATACTGAAGCAACTCTGTCAGACTTGTATGTGGAGCTATAATTCTGCCATGAAGATACAACAGAAACTGGGAACAAGACTTGGTGCTTGACAAACATAACAAGATGAATATGAAAGTGTTGCTGTCGGTGCATAGGCTAGGTTAGAGATACGGCATAATTCAACAGCAAAAGTTGTGTGTTCACTAAACACTGTCTCTCTGTGGATGTACAACTGTCCATGTGCAGTAACTCTTGATTTCAAGTATATTTTTATTCAGTTGCTAGTTAAAAATCATTTGTTGTGATAAACACTGCTTTTCTCTCTAATCTTAGGGCATAATTCAAGACGTGAAGCTGATCTTCGCTCCCAACGGCTACATCACACAGTGTCCTAATCTAAACCGCAGTGAGTATCATGATGTGGTGTGAAAAATAAAAAGGAAGAATCTTCAACACATAATGGTTCTCCTAATGCTGTTATTTTCTTCAAAGTAAAGAAACACGTATTTTCTTACTGCTTATAGCATCTTAATAACATCGCTAAACACAAACATCAATTATGGTCAATGATGTCTATAATGTCCTCTACAGCACAGATGAAGAAAAGCATCATCCTAGCTCTTTGCTTTTGTAGGACAGGACACGCCAGCCGGGGATGACCCGTTTTCTCTTCTCCATCACACTCCTGTCTTCACTCTGTTGTACTTTAGATTTAGTGCTGCCTACTCTCTGCTTGACTTGTGTCCTAATATGTTTGCTGTCAAACAAATTAAGATACAGGGTCACTGCTGCATTACTTGCTCTGTCACTAATCAATAAGGCAATCACACCCTGCTGCTTTAATATTGATACTCACACTCACCACAAGCCCAAAAACAAAGTGTGCGCAGACGTTTTACGCTATGCTTTTGTTTACTTTGGCCACCATGGATTGTGTCAAATGAATGCAGTCAAGGTAATGATTTCTGTCTGTTTTTGTTTTGTACACCTTCAGTCTAAATTCTTCTCTGTTGCTGTTCTTTTTCCTCCTTCTTCTCTTTTGATTCACCCTGTTTGCTCATTGAGCCTGTCCAACCTGCAGCGATTTCCTGAGCCTGGTGCAAGGCATCATGGATCTGCAAGAACTCCTTGCCAAGATGACCCTAAAGGTAATGAAACACAACAATCAAAAAAGTAGATATCAATAAATAGCTGGGAGATGGTCAAACAACTATAGTTGACAAAAAAAGGTCCAGATAAAGTTTAATAGTAAAATAGATCTGGTCTGAGGTGAGAGCGCTCACTCTGTCGCGTTTCTGCAAAGGCCATATCACTAAGATTGTAACAGATGCCTCACCTTAGTCTGTTGTCAAAACCCAAAACATTTGAAGCTTTTGACCATGAATTTACTTGTACTATTTATTACTTTTTAATGAAACCTTTCCCATCATGAACCTATGAATCTAAAGGCATCAAATAGCGTTTGCCAGGATTATCTCAGGGAGAAAGAGATTTAGCTGCGGTTGGAGACAGAATAAACGTGACACTTTTTCTGATTAACTAACTTAAATTGATGTAGTTGTCATTTTGCACAGATGTAAATGTAATGTTAGCAAGCTTTTCCCTTTTTTTAAGGGGGGTGGGGGTGACTACGTGTATTGGTATGTCTCCCAAAGATCAAAGTGAAAATCACCCCCTAAGGTGGTTAATAATGAGAGAGCCAAGCTCCTGTGGGTCTTCCGGATCCAGACTGACAAAGTGGTGGTGGCGAATCAACCGGACATTTTGGTGGTGGACAAATAAGAGAGGTGTGTTTGATGTGGCAATACCAAGTGATGGTAACATCAGGAAAAAGGAACACGAGAAACTAGAGGAGTACTAGGGCCTCAAAGAAGAACTTGAGAAAGCCTGGAGAGTGAAGACATCGGTGGTGCCTGTGGTCATCAGGGCACTCGGGGCAGTAACCCGCAGACTGGAGGAGTGGCTAAAGCAGATCCCAGGAAAAACATCAGACATCTCAGTCCAGAAAAAAGCACTTCTAGGATTAGCTAAGATACTGCACAGCACCCTCAAGCTCCCAGGCCTCTGGTAGAGGACCAGAGCTTGGAAAGATGAGATCACCCACGGAGGGTGAGATGGGGGTAAAGAAAAAAAAAAATATATATATATATAGGTAACACTTTATAATAAGGGTATCTTTATTGACGTTACCGATATTGTTAACTATTAGGGCTGCACAACATTAGGAAAACCTGCGATATTCCATAACAGTGCTTAATATTGCGATATCGATATTACTCACGATAAATGAACAAATACTAAAGTATGCGGTGTTGATGTCGTCTGGCGTGTGACGTCTGCTCTGGGTTCAAAGCAAACAAAAACTAATGCATGAATTCCATTACAACATAACATTTTTATTGAAAAAATATGCAGCTGCACCTGCTACTGTATTAGCAGCAAAACAACAAACTGCATGCATGCAGTTTCTCAGTGACTTTAAAACATCACCTCCACCATAAAACTTTTTCTGAAGCTCCAAATACAGAAAAACATCCCTTACCAGGGTTTTTAGAACAAATAAATAAAATCAGAAAATAAGTTTAAATGTTAAATAATAGTTAACATCACTTAAATGCAACAGCAAATTCTCTCATTGCTACTGAGCATTTTCTCCACTTATGTGGTTATGATATAAGGCTGTTGCTGTAATTGGGAAGTGATCTGTGCTGGGCCAAACTAGGAGAATATTAAGATTTTCTGAGGGAAAGAGAAAAACAATTGTCTACCTTTCAGAAGAGGAACTGGCAAAAAACCTACATGGAAAATATGTGAAAACATTTGGTTTTAACCCCAAATTGAACAAGTTTACCTAGATCTTAAAAAGCAGCTCAGATGATAAAACTGCAACTATGATTCTGATAACAAGCTAACAAATTGAACTAGCTCCTCTAAGATAACCGGCTAGCAGAGCTTCTGACTGACAGTTTATGTGCAGCAGCAAATCAACTATCCTGACTAACAAGGTTATAAAAGCTCATAAATGAAAAATCACTTTGATGTGTGGGGGAACTTTTCCAGGCCCTCTTTAGCAGGGTGGGACTGGGAGGAGAGTGCTGTAGCCTTTTTGTTAGAAGCTAACCGGAGCCTGGGGCTAACATCACCACCCGGTGGAACACTAGCGACATGAAGGTGGGTTGGTTCACCGCCACGTGTCGGAGTCAGCCCGGTAAAAATGATTAACGACACAGAGCGGACTCAGTTCACATTTGAAAGCAGCGCTGATTCCAGAAACATCAGCACAAAGTGCGTTCGTTAATCTGAGCCAGCATGACGAACAAGGGAACGGCGCCGCAAACTCTGTTCGGGTGTTGCTTTCCATCCTAAGGGTCTACGTAGGGGGCGGGCGTATTACGTGAACGGACCCATCTGATTGGCCGCATATCAGAAGGGCTACTTTTGATTGGTCAAATAAAACTTCTGCGTAAAAAACAGCTGGTTTACAAAAAGTTGATGTATGACACGGATGGAAATGTTGAACCAACATTTATCGCCGTTTTTGACGTGCTTTGCGATGGGCCTATCGCACGTCCTGTTATCCCGATGACGATAATTTTTCCATATATTGTGCAGCCCTATTAACTATTGTGTTTTTAACATTAGGACAAAGACCCGGGGATGTCTGCTTAATAATGCATTACATAATATGATTAAGCAATTGTTAATACTTTAATAGTTTGCTTAATAATGTAGAAATTAATGTTAATGAGGGGACCCTACATTTTTATCCTTTGTGACATGGCCACACGTTTGTAGAATGAGTTGGAAAAAAATCATGAATTTAATAAGGAACAAAAAAAAACCTGAAATATTTTTTAAAAGATAAACACAAAAACATAAACACAGCACTAATATAGAAAGATGTATAAAGATTAATTAGAAAACATATTCTGAAACGTTTTATTTTAAAGATTCTCAGCTGATATTATTTCGTGCCACACACCAGAAGTTGAGGTTAAGTCAAAGTTCAGAAAGGTGTCAGATAATGGTACCTGCATCAACACCACAGGAGGCTAATGGGTGGTGTTCCATGGAGCCACAGGGGAAATAACCATTTCCTGCATCTGCATAAACTAGACGAGAGTGTGATGGACTTGGTGTGATTAGGTCTGTGTGCTATCAGGTGAATGAGTCCAAGGACATCTCAGTGGGTAAGTGAGGTATGGAATCATTTTCCTTGTAAATAAGGATGAGATGAAGACCATTACCCTACCGCTGTGTCAGTGCCTCCTCCTTCACATGATCACAGCGTGACCTTTTGCCACCTGACCTCACTTCACATACAAGTCACAGCGGGGAGGATGTAGTCATCTCCAGCTCTAAATGGCTCTCTGCCTACGCTGTGGAAAATTGAAGGATTGAGCATGCAGGGAATAATTGCTCGCTTCTTAGTTTGTGAAGTTGAGTGTCAAGGTGAGGTGAGATGACACTAAAACCCTCTGTGTGAGATAATCTTGGTACAATTTTTCTGTATTATGTTCCTTTTTTTTATTCTTTCCCCAAATTCCGCTTTTTCCATTATTACTTTTCTCAAACGCTCATTATCTTTCTAACCATGTGCGCATTCATCTAAAAGTGTTAATGAATAGACATAAAAAGCACACATGTAGTCACAGATTTAAATATTTATCCACGGTTATTTAAATGTTCACAAAGTAACAATGGCATATTGTGGTCAGTTTTGGGTACTGCAGTCCATGTTTCAAAACAAACAAGTCTGTTCAGAGTAATTGTTGCCAGTTGCAGATCAGCACCAGAAGAATCTAGATGAGCCAAGACGAGTCACACAGAAAGGTTATAATTAAAGTAAAGCATTTCACTGAAAAATTTAGTTATTGATAAATGAGAAAGTAGCTTGAGATTTTTTTAGAACCAACACATTTTTTTCTTATTAATCTTGTTAGCTTGTTAGCTCAGTGTTAGCCTCTAGCCTAACCGGGGCGATGGTAGCACAGGAGTTGAGTGCTCGCCCCGTAATCAGAAGGTTGCAAATTTGAACCCGCTTAGTCTGTCGCTGTCGCTGTATCCTTGGGCAAGACACTTAACCCCCTTTGCCTGCTGGTGGTGGTTGGAGGGACCAGTGGTGCCAGTGCTTGGCAGCCTCACCTCTGTCCGTGCTCCCCAGGGCAGTTGTGTCTACACTGTAGCTCATCACCACCAGTGTGTGAATGTGTGGATGACTGATTGTGTTGGGAAGCGCCTTGGGGGGTTGTAGAACTCTAACGCCCGGAACACACCAGACAAAAACACAAGCGCGCACACACACACACACACACACACACACACACACACACACACACACACACACACACACACACACACACACACACACACACACACACACACACACACACACACTCCTGCGGAGAAAGAAACATAGCGTTTTCATAATTTTAAATTCAGTTTTTACAGCAAAAGATGGATTTAATAAATGTGAACACAAACAAATAAGTTTAATTCAAATGTAAATGTACAAAAGCATTGTACACTACCACAAACACTAGTTATTTACTGAATCATTTAGAAAGGAACTGGTCTACAAAACAGCAGTAGGATCAGAGCAGATTCTGATATCAACAAGCAGAGCAAACTGGTTACACACACACACGTACACACACACATACCTGCGGGAGCGTATGTTGAGGGCGATTTTATTCATGAAATAAATAACCAACCATACCATACCAACTTTATTTATAAAGCACATCTAAAAACGGCATGGCAGCTGACCAAAGTGCTGTACAGATAAAAAGTAAAACACAACATAAAAACAAATGCACAATCAATAATAAAAGTACACAACAAAGCAGTGAAATCACAGTCAGTAAAATAATACATAATAAAAATAATTAATAAAAGTCAAGGGTTTAAAAATGCCTGGTCTTAAAAGTGGTTCTTAAGCAGTGACTTGAAACGGGGGAGGGATGGTGCCAGCCTCACTGAGAGAGTAAGAGCATTCCAGAGGGACGGAGCAGCGTAGACAAAAGCACGCTGACCCTGCGGTTTGTATTTCATGGTGGGAACATGAAGCAGCAAGCAAACGGCAGATCTCAATGCCCGGTTTGCCACATAACGAGTCACAAGGTCAGACAGGTAATCCGGTGCCAGT